TAAATAAAAAAGGCACTTTCATTTTTTCTAAACAGAATTCCAGCACCACTAATGGACTCAATGTTCATCAGGTGGAAGGAAGATGGGAAGGAGAAGGGGAATGATCATTGTGGGATAATCTACACAGAGACAGAAGGAATACCAGCAGGGGTGAGATGGAGTTAATGCCACACAGAGAAGCAGCCAGTGTGTCCAAAACATCTTGGCAATACTGATGTGTTTCCAGGCTATGGGAGATTATAATACAGAGAGAAGTTCGTATGAGACTAAACTGGGGAATGTGTGCTGGGAAAGAGACTCCATCTGGGAAGAGTTGCTTGTGGTAGGAGAAATGCAAGAGCAGAAATTATTGAATTGAAGAGATACCATTAAGGTCAGCAGTGGGTTTTCTTTTTTTTTTTTTTTTTGAGACAGTGTTGTTCTGGTATGACAGACGGTCACAAAGCAACTTGCAAGGCTGCTGAGATACAGTGTTGGGGGTAAAGTGGTGTGAGATTTGTTGCCAGGCTGGCAAATTCTTGTGACATCTTTCAGGGCCACTGGGAATTTGAAATGTATTCAATGCTATTATTGGGCTGAACGATAACATTGAAAAAAAGAAAAAAGAAAAAAAAAAAAAAGCATACAGCACTGTTCCATTCCATTGAAATTTATCTGGCTTTGCTAATGTTTGCTTAATGTGTACTAGTGCAGTGGATGCATTGTAGAGAAACCATTACTTCAATTACGAGACGTAATAGAAAGTCTCTAAAAGATTTTTTAATGATATTTTTATGTTAGTATCTAGATATATAAAGAAATAATGCTTTTACAGTTACTTTTTGCACATCAGACTAAATTACAATAAGAAAATAACTAATTAAAGTAGGCAGTTGGTCTGTTGATTTTGTCATGAATTTTTCTATTAATCCTCCTTCCTTCACAGGTTTCCAGTCAGAAACAATGTTCAGTGTGGAGAGAGCAAGAGCTAGAAAAACAGAAACTAGATAGAAAAAAGGAGCCACAGTGGAGGGGATGGGAGTTGGGGGGGGCGGGGGGACAGGAGTGTTGTAATTGGTTTCAGTGGTATCCTTTAGTTCACACTCACCATTCTTTACATCCCTGCAAAGCTGCTTCTCATTTTTTTTTGGGTAGATGGAGAAGTTTATGCTCTGGCTGTCCAGTATGAAACATACTGACACTGAAGTCAGGGCTGAACATGTTTGTGATTGTAGTTGTGATCCCAAAGCAGGATCAGACAAGAGAAAAAATGACAGTGTAACCCAGTACTTGGGGTGCTATAGACAATATTTGCAACTTCTCAAATCAGGCACCTGAAACAGCAGGGTCTGTTTTTTCTTTCTCTTCTCTTCTCTTCTCTTCTCTTCTCTTCTCTTCTCTTCTCTTCTCTTCTCTTCTCTTCTCTTCTCTTCTCTTCTCTTCTCTTCTCTTCTCTCTTCTCTTCTCTTCTCTTCTCTTCTCTTCTCTTCTCTTCTCTTCTCTTCTCTTCTCTTCTCTTCTCTTCTCTTCTCTTCTCTTCTCTTCTCTTCTCTTCTCTTCTCTTCTCTTCTCTTCTCTTCTCTTCTCTTCCCACAAAGAGTTAACAAAGTATATTACAAAAAGAGAACTTGAAACCCAGTGGCATCCATGAGCCATTTTAAAGTCTTAGTCAGCTTTTTGAGCAAACCACCAGTTTCCCCAGATTTGTTAGATTTCTTTGCTGTAGAATCTACACGCTGTTACAGATGGAATAACATGTTACTTAATCTTTTCACAGGACATTGGCAGCTCTTCTTGGAATATACAACTGTAATACCTTGATCTTTTCAGAGGCAAATAAAATTGAATAGGTTAACTAGTACTTAAGTAGCAAATAATTAAGATCAGTCGTGATAGCGGAACATGAGAATTTATGATGTTTGAAGTTCTACACATAAACACTGTGCAGTGTCAAACACTGTCACTACACAGAAACATCTTATATGACAAATTATTGCATAAAGAATAGTGTTTCAACTATTTTTGTGATACAGAATGTAAAGAACTGCCATGAAATTATTAAGTTTTCACCTTGCTTAAATGTCTCACTTAGACAATGTCTTACTTAGAGCTGCTGCAAAAAAGCATTCTAGGTAATAACATTTTTCCTGTTTTTACAAGGAATTCTTAATTTAAAACAGGTATTGATTATAACTAGTGTTGTACTAATACAAGCCTACTAAAAATATGAGATTCAGTATCTTCTTTGTTAAGATTTGTCACATCAATGCTAATTATTTGATTATTTTCCTTGTACATTTTAGCCTTTTTATTTTTCCTTACTGTATTGGGTTTACATGGCAACATTTTGGTAGTGGGGGGCTGCAGGGGTGGCCTCTTTGACCAGAATCCAGAAGCTGCCACATGTTAGGTCACAGCCAGCCCCAGCCAGCTCCAAATGGACCTGCCACTGGCCAACCAGTGAGAGACTCTGGTTGGGCCTCCAGAAGAGCCTATTTAAGAAAAGGAAAAAGTATTGCGCTACAGCAGCCGGAAGAGTGATGAGTGAGAACCAGCCCTGCAGGCCCCAAGGTCAGTACAGAAGGAGAGCAGGAGGTACTGCAGGCACCAGAGCAAAAGTTCCACTGCAGCCTGTGGAGAGGCCCCTGGTGGAGCAGGCTGTCCCCCTGCAGCCCATGGGTCCCACATGGAGCAGATCTCCATGCTGCAGCCCCCCCACCACGGAGGAGCCCGGGTGGAGCAGGTGGATGTGGCCTGAAGGAGGCAGCAGCCCATGGAGAGCCCCCGCAGGAGCAGGCCCTGGGCCAGAGCTGCAGCCCATGGAGAGGAGCCCACACAGGAGCAGGGGGCCTGGGGGGAGCTGCCACCCATGGGGAACCTGTGCTGGAGCAGTTTGCTCCTGGTGGATGGATGGACCCTGTGGTATGGAGCCATGTGGGAGCAGTTCTTGAAGAGCTGCTGCCTGTGGGAAGCTCCCGCAGGGTCAGTTCAGGAAAGACAGCATCCCATGGGAGGGACCCCATGTGGAGCAGAGGCAGAGAGTGACTGTGAAGGAATGGTGAAGATGAAGTGTTAGGGACTGACCGCAGCCCCCATTCCCCCATTCCCCCATTCCCCTGCGCCGTTTGGAGGGAGGAGGTAAAAGAGGGTGGATGGGGGGAAGATTTTAGTTTGTTTTCTGTGTTTCTTACTTCTCTAGCTTGTTAGCAATAGGTAATAAACTTATTTTATCTCCCGTACACTGTCTGTTTTGCCTATGACAATATTTGCTGAGTGCTCTCCCTGTCCTCATCCCAACCCTTGAGCCCTTTCCATCATATTTTCTTTCCCTTTCCCTTTGAGGAGGGGGAGTGAGAGAGTGTTTGTGGTGGAGCTCTGCTACCCCTCTGGGTAAAACCACCACGCTTATAAAACCCCAAACTTACTGATGACTGTCTGTGGTTTTAAAAAGATGAACAGAGGTTTATCATTTCACCATGTATATCATCTCTGTGCATAGGAACTTATCCCCAAATGATTTTGTAAATGAACCTGTATGATAATTCCAAACAACTGTTTGCCATGCATTTCTGTTAAGTGTTGAACTACCTAATCCAGTTAGTTTTCTGAATGATTATTTTTTTTTTCATATAATGAAGTCTTCCCTATATCCACCAGTTTGAATTAATTTACTACTTTTTTCTTGCCCTTGTTTTGTGTCATCTTTTCATGTTTACTGATTATTTTTTTTCAGATTTTACCTTTGCCTGATTTGCCTTAATCTTACCATTCCTCATCAGAAAAGACAAGATTTTTGCACAAACATGGCAGTGTTTATGTCTGCTTTTAAATGTTTAATGTTTCTATTTGTTGTGTCTGACGTAGTTGCAGATGGAAGATAATCTCTATTAAACTTCCCATTTTCAATTTTCTCAACTCTCCAAAACATGGTGGAGTGTAATTATTCAAGAATAATGGTTGTTAAATGACCATATCTGGATATGCCATGTTGTGTACCAAATTCTGTGTACTACTTTACACATTCAAGCTTCTATTCCAAATGAAGTCACTTTGCAAAAACACTTGGCATTACTGGCAAATTATAATATACTCTAGATGTTCTTTTACATATTTTCCAATAAAACATAGGTTCAAACTGACCTTGAAAATGACTGCATACTGAGAGATCAATTACTGTGAATTTTATATTTTGGAGTTATTATGTGTTGTATGATAGAGGTTTTGCCTGCAGTCTAGTTCATATAAAACAATCTGATTCCTATGGCCACACAACTATGTACTTCCAATTATAATCCTTGTAAATAATCCAGTGCCTGAAATTACTGAAGCGGAAAACAACATAAATAAAATAGTAAATGATGAGTCTTTTAACTTACTTTTACATCAGTATTAAGCAGATACTGAGATATTTGTGTAGGCTTCTTTTATTGTTAGTAGAGAGAAATGGGCACTTAGTCTGTGATTCATATCTTCCTAAAGTAGAATTCTATAGCTGGTCACATAAATTCCATCTTCTACTGACTATTGATCTCCATTGGATATAAAAAATAAATTCAAAAAGAATGGTTAATATGCATATGTCTTGCAGACCTCCAGAGTTAGGTGAGATGTCTCCTGATCAGATACTTAAGTGCTGTTGGTATAACTATTATGTTACTGAATTTTCATTGCATTTTTTTCGGCTATTGCAATACTTTTATTCTGTGTAAAATGTGCATCTATTATACTGTCTGATTGATAAGGCTACATGGCAGAACCATTTGGTGATTCCACTAAAATGGTTATTTTTATATCTCAATGTTATTAGTTGGGAAACTTTTCATGGTTTACAGTATTTTACAGTATTTACAGTATTTTGGTTAAGACACTATGAAAAGTAACATTTTTTTCAACATCAAATATTTGCATCAAAATATTTGCATCAAAAAGATGGATGCAATAAAGCTGCAAGCAAAAAAAAAAAAAAAAAAAAAAAAAAAAAAAGAAAGAAACGATGTATTAAGAGAAAATTAGTAGAAAAAAATATATTTCAGATATAATTTATTTCCAGTAGAAATTGCAACATTATGAGATCTGTTTATTAATTGTCATCTAGAAAAAAAAAAATCAAACTCAATTTGAAAGCATCAAAACAAAAGAAAAATATGTTTTTTTCTGAAGTTGCTTGGCATATCCCAATATATTTACTTTCTCAGTAGCCTGCTGTCATCACTTCCTTTTTTTAAGATTTTTTTTTCATGGAATCACACTTTTTTTTGTTTGTTTTATAGCTCTCTTTTTCCTTGTTTCCCAGCTTCTCTAAGTTTCACTGAGTTGTAGAAGCAGAGTGAACAAAAAGAATTGCCCTGTTCTGTCTCAGGACACTGTATGCAGCTGGCATTACAAATGTCAAAGTGTAGCTTGGAAAAAAATATGTTTCTGTTTCCTTTATAAATACCAAGTAAGCTCACCGGTGGAACTAAAATCTTTAAAAGGAAAGTGGAATTTTCAACCAACCTTGTTCAATTCCAATGGACTTTTCAGTGCTTTTGTTATATTTGTGCCAGTAGGTTAAGCCATAAACCTTGATAACTGCTGTTATTTAAAAGCAAAGCCTTCATTAGGAAATTATGTAAAATTATGTAAAAGAAGAAAGTGACAATAACTCTACAGAAATAACAAAATTTTAACTAAAGACTGTTTTCTCAAATGTCCTTTTTCTTTACCAGACTTCCAAATTTCTAAGTGGAAAAAAAATTAGGCCTTAGGTGTCTGTTTGACATCGGTGAATTTTATTGTGGGTATTTAATTATAAAAACTTTTCTATTGCCTAGAAAGGTTCTAATGATCATATTTTTTCTGTGGAAAGGGAAAAAAGATAAGATTTTTTAAGCATGTATTTCAATGTTGCTTGCTAGTTATTAATGAAGTACAGTTAGGAAATATCTGGTAAATGTGTACTTAAAGTAGATGAAATGAAACGTGAAATATATATGTTAATGAGAGAGAAGGGTTTTTACCTTTCCGTTGTTGCAGTGCTTTGTGTCACCAGACTGCTCTGTTTTCCAACCCAGAACAAAGTAAAGCAACTGGTAAACATGTCAACAGAAAACAGTAACTTATATTACACTTCTAAAACAATACCAATGTTTTCTATTATTTTGGACTTGGTTATTTATTTATTTTTTTTAATTTATTTATTGTTGTTGTTACAATTTTGTGACTGATCAGAGAAGAATTTAGCAAAAGTATTAGTCCATATGTAATCTCAGTTAATTTATCGTTAAACAAGGTAGTAATTTTATGGGAATTTTGCATTGACACCAAAAGCAATGTTGTCTCAAAATACAGGATTATACATATTGTGCTGTATGTACTTGATATGTACTCCAAAATTATGAAGAAATCACGGTGATTTATTCAAAGTTTAATTGTATTTTGATTTTGTCTTTTGTTTTATATATTATCTTTTGCTATTATAATATCTCTTCAGTCTTTAATTTTCAGAATGCCAAAACTAAAACAAAAGAATGTACATGAGCATGGAAATAACACTTGGTGAATCTATATTTATTGTTTCATACTGCAAATATTTTTATTAACAATACTGTTATAATTCAGAAATTTGCTTTTTTTATAAACTAAAATTACTTATGACCTACAGATAGAAAAAAAGGCATGGCATGTTGATGTCAAAAGAGGAGGGGAGAGGAGAGGATCCTCCATATTCTGTGAACTTTGCAGTAACAGTCATAGGAACCCATTTTTTGTTCCTTACATGTGTGATTATGCTCAGTTGTTGAACTTTTTTGTTTGTTTGTTTGTTTTGTTCTTTTTTTTTTTTTTTAATATACAGTACAAACTTTTTGAGAATGGAACAATGGAACTGCCTTTATCCCAGTTGTAACTAAACTTAAGACAGAACATAACCTCTGGATGAATTTAATTTTAGAATACTTGCTGATTATAAATGAGCATAAGCATAACATAAAATGTCTCACATATTAAAGGAAAAAAAAAAGTTTACATTTCTTACTTTTACCCTGGAGAAGGCCTTTACTTTTAGGACCTTGCCCTTACACTATCATTTACACATCACATTTTACTGAGAGTGCAAGTATTATCACCCTGTAAGGTTACTTGCATTTCCATGCCCATGTTGTATTGTCAAGTGACATTTAGCAGCATTTACTTTTTTGGCTGCCATTTCCTCATCTTGCATAATACATTTTTCTTACATTAGAAGCTGAGGCATAGGAAAATTTTAAAGTTTGAGTGCACCTGTGGGATGACAGCATGATAGACATCTGTGAAATAAATGCAGACTTATGGTGAGCAGGTTCAGCTGCAACCCCCTAAAATGGCATTTTATAATATGGCAGGCTTAAATGGTAGAGTGTTGAACAATCACCGAAAAACATTACATCATGTAAAACTGTAGTACAAGGGGGAAAAAATGACAACAGTGTGCAGAACTGCAGCTGATCCTGCTTGCCATATGGTATGTCATTCACAGTAATAACACTTACATTCCCTCAGTAAGTGCCCTTAAATATCAGGGAGTGAATAAGGCAGTACACAGATTGCAAAAGGAATTTGTAATCATATACATTGTGAACTTTGTACTTTCAGGAATCATTTTACCCTTCCGTTAACAAAATACCCTTTAAAAATACATCTTAGTACATTCCCAAGGCTCAATACTTTAAAATCCACTTGTGCAAATGGTTAAAAGCAAGCCCTCCCAAGTAAACATGAAAAACAAAACAAAACAAAACAAAAAACTGTGAACAAATAACTGCTATCATTCTCCCTTCCCCCTTCAGGATACTGTGATTTTCTCACCAATAAAGTTTTCTTACATTTATATATTTTTTCAGTGTGTGCTGTTCTTTGTGATCCTGATGAAAAACCAGCTAACTGGAGTTGTTTGGATGAAGAATAACTTGCTTTTTATCACAGATAAGAAAACTGCTTAATTGTTCATTATTTCTCACAATGCAAAATCTACAGAGCACTCAATGCAAGTTTCATGAAGCAACTTTGAAATAAACAAAGGAAGTATTTTGTCATATCACGTCCATAATTAAATTGTGGAACTCATTGCCACAAGATGTTGTAGAAGCCAAAACTGTAATTAGATTCTTAAAAGGACTGAGGATAGGCCCATTGTCTATATTGAACACAGAAGTCTGGAGCCTTCATTTCAGGAAATCCCTCAGACTCTAGCTGCTGCACGAGCATGTTAGAGAAGAGCTGTAGGTCTGTAGGCATACCTGTTCCTCATACTCACATCTACTAAAGAAAGGATGCTGGGGCAGATGAATCCAATCTGCTATGTTATCCAAGTATTTACATTGGACTGAGACCAATGTAAACTGAGTGCTGTTCAGACCCAGCACCGATTTATTCAGTGATATTCTGGGTTATTCACTGGATGCTGAAATGTGGAAAAAAGAAAACAAAAAAAAAAAAAAGAAAAAAAAAAAGAAAAAAATCCAGCTTACCAAGATTTTATTTTATTTTTATTTTTTTCCTGGCAAAACACAAAAGCATGCATAGTGTAAGGTAAACCCAAATCATTATGTTATTTATTCTTCTTAGTATCAGTGATAGATATCTATTGGAATAGATAGTGACTTGCTCATCTCTAAAAACATTCCCCCCCCAACAGGGGACAAATTTATGTCCCTTATTTATTCCAATTTTGATATTGTTTACTGATTCTAATATCTTCTTGTTCATGTTCGTTTGTGTGCTGGAACCACCCATGTTCTTTGGAATCATGACCAGATGACTGGAAGGTAAATATATATATTTTTTCACTATTTGTACTTTCTCAGAACTTTTACCCTGGCAGGAAACTAAGTATCTTTTTCCATCAGTCACTCTGTGAGAAACCAACCATTCCCATAATTTTACGGGTACTACACATTGTTACCTAAGCAAAAATCTTATTGGTATATCTGTAAAATTCTTTAGCACCTTTCGGATATAACTACTGTGGCAAATCAGTTAAAATGTGCATCTGAGAAAAAAACTGCAGTGACAGAGAAAAAAGCAACTTGACTATACATTTTTTTTCCATTTCTAAATTCTATAGAATATCCATTCTCTCAGCATCAGTAAAAGAAGCAGACATGGGTTGAGATTCAAGATCTGAGACCTTATGAGATCTTAGAATGTGCAATGTGTTGTTCAGCATGCATACCATTGCTTCTAAGATGGTTCCTGTAACGTGATGTCTAGTGTATTTTCTTTTCAGTTCTTTGGCAGATTTTTCTTTTTTTCTTTTTCTTTTCTTATTTTTCTTTTCTTTCCCAACTTTACAAGGTAGCAGAGTATACACTCAATAAAATATGAATCTCAGTGTAGGGGATTTGGTAACACTTCCTTGTTATTTTTCCAACAATTTTGACCTTATGCACGAGTCAGGACATTGTTTTTTCTACTGACTGACAGATCCCCCTTTTTTACGAGACTTCAATTACATAGCAAATGAACTAATACTCCTACTAACACTTTTCATGTCCCTGCTCACTGTGTGGTTTATGGGAACTTCACTTTTTTCAACTTTCTCCCACAGCTTTTGTGACCCTGAGTGTTTTCTCTGATCAGTTTGTAGGATTACATTTTTTTACTAGCTATTTCCTCTGAAACGACAGGTCTCTTCTGCCAACATTCCTGTCATCACTTGTAATGCACAATGTTATGGGATGCCCTTCTGATTTTCCCCGTTGCCCTTTTCTGCAGTGTAGTACAGTATCATTTGTTGCTTCTTTCTGTTCTACCTTGGTGATACACTGACTGAGCCAGAGCAACTGACCTGATGGTTTCATCATCTGGGATTGCAGACCTGTCTTTTCAGTCATGGTAGTTGGTATTTGGGGATCAGGGTCAGTATCAGCTCTTGGCAGAGTTTTTACATTTCAGGGTACTATCTCTTCTGTGTGATTTACTGGTAGTTTCTCAGCTGACAAGAGTGAGCTTCGAGTACATTTTCTTCAGCTGTAACATCGGAAGAAAATGTTAGTCAGAGCAAGCAGATTATCTAAACAGAGCCTGATGAGTCTGTGTCCAGGCTCATTGATCTTTCTTAATCCATGTTTGCTTAATTCATTCTAATCCACAACCTTTGCTCCCACTTTAGCTTTTAGATGCCCCACATTCGGCAGCACATTATGCCTCAGCGGAGTGTCAGTGAGCTAGGACTCCAGGATATTATCATCTGTGGCTGTTGTCAAACGGAGGGGACCTGGATGGTGGTAAGATTAACTGGTGTTTCTTTAAGGAAGATTAAAAGAGTAACAGCTGTAGAAGGCTTTTATCTCATTAAGGTTAGAGTTCTGTGCTTATGTAGATGTGGCAATGATTTCTTGTTTTTTAAAGGTAATCTTCAAAATGAAAAAATAAATAGAAATTGAATGGTGGAACACAGCTAACATGTCAGCAATTGTATTCTGGCATCATAAGCATTTCTGTGACAGCTGTATCATCACAAGAGAGAAATTCAGCTTGCAGGTTACAACAAAGAAGTTTGTGAAATACATAGTGAAAGCTGGATGTTTTTGTATCCTGAAAGTACTATTCTCCTGAAAAAGTAGAAGACAGATGTATCTATCTATCTATAGATAGATAGAGACATATATTTCTAGATTGAACCAGTTAATGTTAAGTATTTTTTCTATTGCAAGGTTTCTCCCATATTGGAGCATAACAGTGAAATACTGAGTGATGCTATATAAAAGCATTTCAGTTGACCTTTCACCTTAGAAATGCAGATAATTTTCACTCCAAATTATCACTGTGAATTGGTATATAAAGCCTCCTTGAAAGCAGAAAGTTTTTATCTTTTTTGGTTGATAGACATGTCTTCTATCCTTTAACGTACCTTTAATATATATAAATGATATACTCTCCTGCCTGTTTTCATATGCACATTGTATTATATACACTGGAGAGACTCCAAGCCATCCAATTGTTGTGTACTTTAAAAAGCTATTAACATATGTATTTTTCATCACAGTGAACTTGAAATGAGACTGGGACAACATAAATTGAAAGGGAGAATTGGAAGAAACACAGGTAGATCTGGAACAAAGGAGCATCAAATGTAGATGAAAACATTGAACAAAATGGTTCTGAAAAGTTACATGCAATGACTCTGCAAGTCCTGGGAGTAGTTCCACAGCAACTTTTCCAAAAATCAAGATACTTGGATTCCCTTGTTATGTCAGCCTGGAGGATTCCTATCTCTGTCTGTCAGAACAAGCTAAATACCAGAGGAAGCCAGATGATAGATTGGAAGGTAAGGGGATGGGGTGGGGAGGTGTCACTTGATATTAAACCTGTTGTGTATTGTGTGCTCATGAATATAAGCATAATGGAGCAAAAACAGAAGTAAGGGTAAAGAAACTTGGATATATATCCTTATTTCTATCATTCTAGGGGCTTTGCAGACAAGCTTGGCTTTTAGCTTCTGTTCTGTGGACTGCTTCAGCATTCAATCCACTGACATCTAATGTAAAATTCATACAGACCAGGTTTTATAATTACTGTCTCTCTGTTAAGCCTATGCTCTGGCTTTTAAACTGTGGTATCAGATTTTCCCTTGCCCTGTTTCCTTCACTCATGATTCTTGTTCTCTTGGCTACATGTTTGACATATCTCAGCAGCAGACGTGGTGGGTTCCCTTTTCTGTTTTGCATCATCCCATGCTCTGTAATCAGATAAGTATTTGCCTAACAGGTAAGCTCTGCCTAGATAAAAGTGATATGAACTCCCTTCTCCATTTTATTCTCTTGCTGCTCTCATCTCTTGACTCTGTGTTGTGGTTTGTATTTTGTTTCATTTTTACCCTGAAATGGCTGTCATTGCTAAGAATTGCAATTTGTACAATGTTACAACCACTGAGATGCAAAGAGATGCAAAAGTGAGAAATGTAGCCCAAATTAATCTAATTTATCTACCTATCTATAGATATCTAAAATGAAAGACTTAATTAAGACTGGAATTGCCTTAGGTTTCTCTATAGTTAGTACAGCAAAGTAGGCTTCTCCAGAGACAACTTCACTCTCTGGTGAGAGTGAGAGAGTCTCCAGAGAGATTCCATAGTCAATTTAGATTATTAAATCAGGTTTTAAAGTTACAAAACTGCAGAAGTTAGGTTGGAAGATTGATATAAATTTTGATCTAGGTGAGATTAATTCCACACATAAAAAATGAATAAATAAATCACTATTTCTTGCTATTTGTGGTATTGGTAGATCTGTATAGAAATGCCTGACTTACATGGGTTTCTTCAAGCTCATTGGTGTTATCTGGGTATCAATGAATTTCTTTCCCCATCTTAGTTTTGGTCTTAGTGTACAGACTGCCAGTTGTGTATAAATGTTTTTTTCTCTTCTGACCCAAGCACTTGCCTCTCAAGATAAATCCAATCAAACAATGGAGCATGTTTTCCAACAAATGTTTCCAGTAGGAATGCTGAAATATAGAATCTCATACAGATGAGAGGGGTTTTGATCCCCCTGACCCGAGGTGTCCTTCCTACCAGGCTTGTGACTTTCCTGCACTCTTCCATGTCCTCGAACACCTGTCAAGGTATGTGATACATGACTGCATTTTCATGCTTATATATATATGTGTGTGTGTGTGTGTGTGTGTGTGTGTATAATTAAACCGTATAGGGCCAAGAAAGGATATAGAGTTAAGAAGTGCTCATTGAAATGTAAATAATGTGTCCATGTGTCCAAGAAGGACTACTTCTGAGGTTGTCTGCCAAGTGTTACTCCCTGGGGTGAAGGGGTGGATGCAGTTAGAAGAGTAGACGTAGTGTGATTTGCTACAAATTGTACCCACAACTTTCTGCACCAGAAAATGTGGCATGTAATCAGGGTGTTCTCTTACCCTTCTTTTTCTACTTTTTATTTCATAAAATCTTTTTCTTCTTGTCATTTTGTTATAAAAACTCCTTGAGGTAGGGTTTTGGTTTTTTTTGTTATAGGCTTGTAGAGACCCTTTTCATTCAGCAAGACCATAAAAATAATGTATTTCTATGTCCTAATTAAATAAGCTGTAAACTAATTTATCTCGCCAAAAGAAACATATTTATATACATAATTTGATTTGGAAAAGAACAACAAAAAAAAAAACTTTCAAAGAGACAAAGGCATGAAAGTGTTTTTGTTTTTTGGTTTTTGGTTTTTTAATCCCAGAAGGAAAAAAGTGCAACAATTCATTGTACACAATCTAATACACATTTATTTCCTTTAAAAGATCTTTCTGGATACCTACATATACAGAACATGAATACACTTGAAGAGGAAACACAACCTCTTTATTGTGGATTTCATTTGAACATGCTAGAGACATAACTTAAACTTCTGCATTATGAGAGAGAGTACAAATGAAGGTAAATAATGAAATTGGCAACATAGCTAAAAATATGAGACACTTCTGCCTCCATTTCCTTTGGAAAGTATTAGCTAATTATATTTAACATGGAATGAGAACATAATTCCCACTGTTTTGACAAGCAACAAATTGCACATTAGCACCTTGTAAATAATAATATTAAAAACAGTTGTCCTTGTCTTCAGTTTCTTTGTAAGAATAAAATTAATTTGAAGCCCATCATTCAGAAGATATGCATTATAATATCAAAGCAGCAGTTTTAAAACACTGGAAACTGCAAATCCTGTACACACTCTGCACAGAGGGAGAAATTTGGTGCTGTAATAAGAAGATAAAAGGGAAAAGTATATAGTCTATGATAGCAGCATGATCCCTTATGATAATCAGATTTTCAGTCATGATTAATTTGAGTCAGTCATTCTACTAATAATATTATCCTGACTATAATCTAAGCACAATAATGTTTTCATTCAGAAAAGTAAATTACAGATTGTTAAGCATTTCTTGTTGTTGTTGTTAGTTGGCTAGTTAAACTGAATTGCTCACCTTTTTTTTTTTCTCCTAAAAAATAACACAGAGATGAATTTCAGTACTGTGTATTTAAACACATAGTCTTTCATCCCATAATCCAAACGTGCTTCACTTCACAAATATTAATTTTTACTGTACAAATGATCTCACAGCAGTATGACAAGGTACGTTAACTAGTTGTTTTTTTAATACTCTGTTTTTAGAGTAAAGTGTTGACATCGTTTAACAGAATCTAATAAGAAGAACCTCAGCATCTTACAGAGACCTTTCTAAGTAAAGTGACAGTACTTCCTGGTAGCACAAAGATCTGATCGTTGCAATAACCTTACTGAAAGACAATAATTTCAGTTGAAAATAAGAAGGTCTGTTTTCATCAACTGCAAAAGGCTCAGGATTTCATTTACAAGAGTTAGCTCATTAACACATAGTGGTAAAAACGTCACAGATGGATATAGAAAAGGAACAGTTGAAATCATCAGTGACGTGTATTCTATAAGCCAGTGAGATGCAAAATGTACCCAAACAGAATTTTGACATGTAGGTTTAGTGGTTTTCTAATAACATTATTAATATTAATTTCCTCTTTAAAAAGTCACATGTATAACATTGCTTCCTTCAAACACGAGGCCAGAAGAAATGCTGGATAAATTTTGATCCTGAAAGCTAAGAAATCTACTTTCATGGGGATGCTGCAGTTGAAGTCTCTGATAATTACAGCTGGTCATTATAATCATACTTCAGAGTCCATGAGCAAATTCAAATGAGTCAGGAAGGCAAGTGTGACTCACAGCAAGTAAGCACAGTGCTGCCATATGTGGTATATACTTCATATGCTCTTATGTATAGGCTCTTTAAAAAAACAAAACAATAGAAAAAAAAAATATTTGTCTTTAATCCAGGTCTAAATTCAGATAAATGAAACCAAAATGTGGCCTTCATAGTTAGTTGTAAATTATATTTCAAAAATAGGTTATAATTACTAAAGATGTAACAAAACCAAATCCACGTTGATCTTAGTAATGCTATACTCAGTACTTTGTATTAATCAAAACTATGCACAGACACAGAGCACTTCAAATGAATGACTAAAAAAAGAAGTATGCCTACCTGAAATAAGGTCCTTGGATACAGTGAATACTTTAGGGTATTGCTTCAGGCTCTTTCACTGAAATCAGAGATAAGGTGCTTGGTAACTGAAAGGACTGAGTCAATTATGTTAAAAAACAGTGGAACACTCATAAAGTGCACATAACAGCTGCATGAAATGGCAATATGCTATTATTACAAGGAAAATAAAATGGATCATTATAAATGAAACACACAGAGGATTGTTATCAGCAGAACAATTGTTATGTATTGAGCAATCAGAAACACCCACTTGGAAATCCTTAACGAAGTGCTTAACATTTTATAAATAGAATTTCCAGGGAATTCAGAGATCAATACAACTGTCTAGCCACCTTCCACCTGTCTGGAACTGCCTTCCAATAAGAGTAACAAAGGGAAACAACTTAAGTATCTTTAAAGTGGAGCTTAATACATTTTTGAATGGGATTATAGGATGCAGGAGATGCTTGTTAGGGGATAGGAATCAATGACCTGGACAGCCCTTTGTTATATCTTGTGCTCCATAAACCTTCTTTGTTGCTTTGTTTCCAGTAAGCATAGATTCAGCACAGAAGACAAGTTTCAACAAAATACCTTATTGTTTGGAAGCAGTTCTACCTGATAGCACTACTTCAGGTGCACTTAATCTTAAGGTAATTCTAGTATTAACTGCATATTAGAAGAGTAGGAATCCAGGCATCATGAGTCACTATTTATAATCTGCAGCAGATGTGTATAAAATCAATAGCTAATGGACAGCATGGTCTTGCAGTGAATTAGGAGCAGAGTGTGAAAATGTCAGTTTCTCTTCAGTGTCTCTGCCAGCTGAGATCAGATGAAATTTCAACAGTTCTTCCTCTGTTCATCAAAACTAGATTTTATATATAAACTTGCAGTAGGAAGGCACGTCAGAAAAATAGCTACTTCTGTGTTTAAATCCCCATTTTTATTCATCCAACAAAACCATACCTGTTAGCAAGAATGGAATATCTATATAGAGAAGGAGGAGATGTCAAGATCAAGCACAGAGTCATGTGAATTCTTCCTCTGCTAGCAGGAGAAGGGAAAAATGATCAGTGTAAATCCTTGGCTGTTTTGCTGCAAGTTTGTCATTATGGTAATGAGTGATGCAAGGACACTGTTAGACTTTGCCATATTTCTTAATGCTTACTATTTATTGTAGTCCCTAGAGGCTCTAACAGGAATGATGAGCTGATGCAGCACAACTGGGAGGCTGATGGGGGCTGCAGTATGAGGAAATGGTCTTGGGTTCCTTAGTAAGACCAGGATTGCTTATTGCCTTCTAACTTCTATAGAGGTTGCAGCTGCTGAGGAGGAGCAGGAGAGCACAGCTATCACACTTGGTGGGTTCAAGGGCTTTGTGTGGTGAGCTGGAACTCAGAACTTTGGTCTGTCCGTGGCAAGGAAGTTCTTTCCTTGCATGGTACATAACAACTACACACTCATTACTGAAGTGGAATTCAAAAAAAGATGAGGACTGATATGCAGACTACTGTGAAAACAAAAAGGTATATTTTCTTGTGTAAGCATTTCAATTATCATTCAGAAGAAGGTCACCTATGTGTAAATGTGACCCTTGTAACATTTCCAAGGTCAGAGAGACTTAGGACAATCTGCTCTGTAAAGGCTGATTGCACAAGTTTAAGCTGCTTGAGGTCTGCTTCAACATATCTTGCCAATTTTTCTAAAACTCTGGCGGGAGAGGATGTTGTGTACTAAAACTGATTCATTCTACTTTCCTTACTTTTCTCTTTACCCTTTCTGGATGGCCACCAAACTATTCCTTTGCTATCTGGCAAATATTAAAAGTATTTCATACTGTTCACTAATTATTTTTCTGAAATAATTGAAGTACGCATGATATAGGCTAGAGAAACGACTATGGATCAAATGTTTGGCTGTGTTCACTGAAGATTAGAAAATGGTCTAGCTCCCAGTTTTAGTTAATTGAGACCTCTCTTCTAAGCTCTTGCTCGGTGCTGTGATGTAAGTGTTAGAAGTTAATCCTTTAAGTCCAACTATTCACCTACTCTCATCTTATGTCAAGGAGCCAGAAGGCATCTTCAAAGATTTCTCATCCTGTGATAGACATTTAAGATGTTTCAGATAAACTGCTCTCATGAGGCTCCTTTTTCGTCTCATAGATCTAGGCACGGTAGGTTACTATGTCTGATGTTAAAAGGTGCAGATTAGGTGAAATGAATTGCACACTGTAAAGAAGAAGGAAAAAAAAAAAAAGTAGAAATGCAATTTACATGTTTCACCCAATAAGGGATGGCAAAGAAAATGCTGGGATTTAAACAAAAGAGTTGTCTGGATGCTGACATCCACAAGCAGATGGCTGGCATTTTAATGGAAAAAAAAAAGTACCCAAAAATACTGGTGTGTAGTCTGTGCGTGTCTTGTGTCAGCATATAGAAGCAATGAGTCAGTAACTAGAAATGATGTATCTGATAAAATGGTCAATTTAGTATATGAAGTAGAGTAACAGAAATCCTGTTACATGTAAAAATTTATAGAATTATACACTGCTAAAATGATGGAATAAATATTATGAGGATGTTGGTTACACATCTGTGGTTGTTACAGTTGTAAACTTTAAAAAAAATATCTGGTAGTAGGTGATTTTGATTAGGATTATCTTTCACACAGCTACATGGAATTTACATATCTGCTTAAAATTTACTAATTTCATGATCACATTCCTATATGCTGTGTGAATTTTGAACTAATAATTCAAACCCAGAAAATTCTCCTTGAAATCTGCATTCTACCTGGTAAAATTGTTTAAACATACTTAATGAAGAGAAATGTTCAATTTTAAATATATGCAATAAAATTGGCTACTTAAACTTTACAAGTCTTACGAGAAGCAGCTGAAGGAGCTGGGTTTGTACAGCCTGGAGAAGAGGAGGCTTAGGGGTGACTTTATTGCTCTCTATACGTACATTAAAGGAGGCTGTAGCAAGGTGGGGGTTAGTTCTCCCACTTGCCTGGTGACAGGACGAGGGGGAATGGGCTACAGTTGCTCCAGGGGTGTTTCAGTTTGGATATTAGGAAGAACTTACTTACCAAGAGGTTTGTTAGGTATTGGAATGGGCTGCCCAGGGAAGTGGTGAAGTTACCATCCCTGGAGGTCTTTAAAAGATGTTTAGATGTAGAGCTTAGGGATATGGTTTAGTGGAGGACTGTTAGTGTTAGGTCAGAGGTTGGACTCGATGATCTTGAGGTCTCTTCCAACCTAGACAATTCTTTGAACTCTCTTATATAATACCTGAAAAATTCACTTTAACGCTTTTATCTGATTGCCATGAATGATTCAATAAAAAACGCCTTAAATGCATAGAAACTGGAGATCATATAGCCTAACCCAGCTGTCATGCAATTTATAAATACAGAAGCAACTACCCACATCTGTTCTCCTATTTTCTTTTTTCGATTTAAGAGGGAAATTGACCTTACAATCTTCAACGTGACTTCAGGTCATTGTTATTAGTGATGAGAAAATGCTGTGTTCTTCTTTTGACTGAGTCTGGCAAACCTCCCAGATATTTTACAATCACAGTATAAAAGCTCTGAAATGCGGTACAATATTTTATTTTTTCAGGTTTAGACACTTGTTGTAGTAGTCTGCACAGCTGGCAAATAGAAAATCTTTTTGCAGGGAATCTGTGTTCTTTTTTCAGTTAAAATGATTTCCCCTTTGAAACGCTGTAGTTCTAAAATAACTAGGCTGAAATAAATAAGCTACAAGCTCTTTCTTTTAGGCAAAGAGATTAGTAATTTTCATTTAAAGAGTATGGGTAAGGTAACAGTATCATTATTTTGGGGGCTTTGGGAAGAACAAATACTTGTAAGGCTCAATCCAGCTCTAGTTTTCCACACAAGAAACCGTGGTTCCACAAACACAATTATATGGAACTTTCTCCTCTCCATGTAAAAGGAAAGAGAAAATACAGTATTTTTCTGCAAAATTCCTATTAACTACAATATTATTCATGCATAGTTCTTTGTTGTTTTTCTTTTTAAGTCTAAGGGTAAATAGTAATAATAATAATGAAGAGTTTGAGTATCCCAATGAAACAATTTTATCACAATATAGCATCATGCAAGGGACCTCCACAGGAACTTGTTTGACTTCTTATCTTCTATCTGCAACAACTTGGAACACATACAATAAGTATTCATGTTTAATATAATAACTAGCAGCCTGTGAGAACTGCAATAAAAAAAATAGTGTATGTGTTTATATGCAGATGGTATGGGAAGATAGTGATCCTGAGGGATATGTTATCTCCACCTTTTGAAGCTGTTCAATATTGCATGACTAAGAGCAAGTTTGGTCTAAAAATCACATCCACTGACTTCCAGGTAATCATCTGAAATTATGACCATCAGCCTCTGACACATACTTTCTGTAAGTTCATTGCTGACTGACCATGCACATGCTCCTGGCAGCACATCCCAGTGTACTTCAGTTTGAATTCTGTTCCAGCTCTTATTGGTTCTTCCTCCTCCAGTAGCTGTTCAAAATAGCAAACATGTAATTTTGGATCTGGGACTAGAATCAAGGTCTCTTCTTTTTCAGGGAAGTATCATGAATATTAGGTAAGAGAGTCATGCTTAGAAACATTTTCTCATGTAAAATGACTGCTAAAATAAGGATGACAGACTGTAGGATAAAAGGTGCTCTTTTACTGTGCTTTGAAATGGATTGTTGTTCAGTAGGCAATTTTGTTAATTTTAAGAAGTATTAAAATAAGTATTGAGTCACTGATAAAGATCAGAAAATTAATAATAGACAGGCAGAAAAGATGCAGGTTTTTGTTTGTTGGTTGTTTTTTTTTGTTTTGTTTTTATGCAACTCCATGTAAACATTGTTTTGCCAAAACCTTGCCAATTTCTTTAGATAGCAACTTAAGTTACCTCAGGTGTCTTGCAATGCCTATATAGTCCCTATAGGAAGACAGAAGAGGAATAAGACATACTGCACTTATTGAGGAAACCACATTCATTTTCCATAGGCAGTTATTATGGGTCTCATTTTATACAGTCTCCTCAGAGAAAGCCTGGGTAAACAGATAAGCTTTGTAGTGTTAAATGCTGTTAAATTGTAGGTGTGGCAAGATGAAGGTCTATTTGTAGAAAAATATCTGCAAAGAAGCATCACAACTTGTCATCTGCCATTATAAAATGGGATTACCTTCCATCTAATATATGTGGATAATGTAAGGAAGCAGAAGAGTTCATAGAGTCATGCAGGAACTTTATCATATGCACTTAGTGGAGGGCTTGGGAAGGAATATTTATTACCCAGTTATTTGACAGCAATATTTTATTGTAAGTGTAGTAGTAATGTACCATTACAGTGCTGTCGATATGCTGGATGAGGGGTGCACTCCAGAAGGACCTGGACAGGTTTAAGAGGTGAGCCTGTGTGAACATCATGAAGTTCAACAAAGTCAAGTGCAAGGTCGTGCACCTGGGCCAGGGTAATCCCAAGCACAAATACAGGCTGTATGGAGAATGCATTAGAGCAACCCTGATGAGAAGAACTTGAGGGTGTTGGATGACAAGAAACTTCACATAGAGCCAGTAATGTGTGCTTGCAGCCCAGAAAACCAACTGTATCCTTGGTTGTATCAAAAGAAACATGGCTAGCAGGTCAAGGGAGGCAATTTGAAGGCTTTCAATACTGTCTCCCATGACATCCTACTAGTAAAGCTGAGAAAGTGTGGGATAGATGAGTGGACAGCAAGGTGAGTTGAGAACTGGCTGACTGGCCAAAGTCAGAGGGTGGTGATCAGAGGAGCACAATCTGGCTGGAGGCCTGTGACTAGCAGTGTTCCTCAGGGGTCAGTGCTGGGTCCAGTCTTGTTCAACATCTTCATCAACGACCTTGATGAAGGAATAGTGTCTGCCCTCAGCAAGTATGCTGATGACACAAAGCTGGGAGGAGTGGCTGACATGCCAGACAGCTGTGCTGCCATTCAGCGAGACCTGGACTGGCCGGAGAGATGGGCAGGAAGAAACCAAACGAGGTTTAACAAGAGCAAGTGTAGAGTCCTGCACCTGGGAAGGAACAACCCAAAGTAACCATACAGGCTGGGGGACGACCTGCTGGAGAGGAGGTCTGAGGAGAAGGACCTGGGGATCCTGGTGGATGACAGGTTGACCATGAGTCAGCACTGTGCCCTTGTGGCCAAGAGGGCTAATGGGATCCTGGCATGCATTGAAAGGGGCATGGCCAGCAGGTCAAGGGAGGTGATCCTCCCCCTCTACTCTGCCCTGGTCAGGCCTCACCTGGAGTACTGTGTCCAGTTCTGGTCTCCCCGGTACAAAAAAGACAGGGATCTCCTGGAAAGAGTCCAGCGGAGGGCCACAAAGATGATACGGGGCCTGGAGCATCTTCCCTGTGAGGAAAGGCTGAGAGACGTGGGTCTGTTCAGCCTGGAGAAGGGAAGACTGAGAGGGGATCTCCTCAGTGTATATAAATATCTGAGGGCTG